GTCTCTCTCTCTCTCACTTTCTAAACTGTCTGTCTGTCTATCTTTCTCTATTTCTAAACCATCTGTCTGTCAGTCTCTCTCTCTCTCTTTCTAAACCATCTGTCTGTCTGTCAGTCTCTCTCTCTCTTTCTCTCTTTCTAAACCGTCTGTCTGTCTGTCTATCTCTCTCTCTGTCTGTCTGTCTGTCTAAGGTGGACACATGTTTTATTATTTAACAGTTCTCTGCTGATGGATTTCAGATGAAAGACTTTCAATTATTTATTTATTTATTTTCAGAATTAGATTTATGTGTCTGTTACTGTATAAAAGTTCTATATGTACAAAATACATACAGTGTACAACTTAGTCGAGCCTGACCGATGAGAATTTTTGCCAATACAGAGTAAAATGAATTCTGATAGTGAAATATCTGCCCATATATATCTCTGCCCTCGATCCAAATACTTGATCTGTCAGTGTGATGATTTTCTTTGCTCTCTATATAAACAACACTCTGTGTATTCCTCTGTAATCTTTAGTTTGTCTTCTTCCACCTGCAGGACACCCATCGTCTTTATAAACAGAAGCTTGAGGAAGTGACCAAGCTGCAGGTCAGCTGTTCTGGTGCCATCTCCCGTCAGAAGAAGAAGCTGAAAGAACTCACAGCGTCATTAGACGAGTGAGTATATTGATCAGGGATCAGTCAATGTGAGTGTGTTGGTTCTCTGCCCATTGTAATGCTCCCTTTATTATTCACTAAACAGCAGCCAGTCAATCATAGAACTCACCACAGAGACACTGAGGTCTGTTAGTGATGCATGAAGTATTGAATCCACTTATACTTCATTAATAACTTTGATTTTTTTATTGATTAAAAAGTTAGAAACAGATTTTGGTGGGAAACCAGTGAGTGATTAGATTCTTTGTTGGGGACTTTAAATTAGAAAATGTGGCGTAAAGTAAGTCAGAGCTGTGTCGTTAACGTGCCACAATGATTTCTCTTTTTTATGATAAGATGCAAAAACAAAAGTCCGACCCCAAAGTTGAGTCCCGACGATGTTGATCCCATCGCTGAAATCGAAGAATCCATCAGAGACAGAACAAATGCTTTCTGTGAGATGGAAGCTTTTCTGCCGAGGAAGAACGGGTGCGTTTCTGTCATATAATTCAATTTTATTAAATATTGTCAAACATGTCAAACTATATATCTGTTGTGGTGTTTTTTTAAAAAGTTGAACTGGAGCTTTTCACTTTTTAAAACAACAAATCTCTTGTATTGTTCAGATGTTCTCACTGTGACTGACAGACGCTTCTTTCCTCGCAGGCTGTACCTCTCTCTAGTTTTAGGAAACGTGAATGTGACGCTCCTCAACAAACAGTCAAAGTAAGTCTCACTCAGGTTCGTGTTCTTAATTCAAAATACAGTTTCGTCACCACGTCACATTGATGTTGTTTCTCTCTGCGCTTCGCCCGAACAGATTCGCCTACAAAGACGAATATGAGAAGTTTAAACTGGTCCTGACCGTCATCCTCTTCGCGTTCTCCTTCACCTGTCGCTTTTTGTTCAGCTACAGGTGAGACTGTCGTCAGCCCTGGGTTAATAAATATTTGGTGCTTTAAGGAACATTTACAGCAGCAGGACAGAGTCAGTGATATGAGCTGGACAACAAATATACACTGGCCATATTTATTTTAAACTCCCTGTTGTTATTTAGTTCTCAAGATTTATGAGGAGGATATGAATTTAAACAAACTATGTACTGGCCGTTGTTCTCATATATAAAACACATGACGTAAACAAAACGTATGTTATGAACCCTTTCATTTGGTTCGTATGAATAAGTGCCGTCCTTGCTGCATTATTAAATAAGGATTTCTTTTATTGCGTGTGTCTTTTTGTTTTCATTTCAGAGCCCTGGACGCTCTGTTCAACTTCCTGCTGGTGTGGTACTTCTGCACGCTCACCATCCGGGAGAGCATCCTCATCAACAACGGCTCCAGGTCTGCAACAAATCAACCCACTCTTTTTCATTTACTGCCTTTTCAAAGGCTTCCTCTGGACGTCATCACGTAGACTAGATTCCTCTTTGCGTTTTTGCTCTTCAACGTTTTGGTTTTTTCTGTTTGACCTCGGTTAATCTGTGAGTATCGTGTCCATCAGCGCGACACACTCTGTCCTTCATCGTCAGTCGTCCATGTTGTTTCAGGATTAAAGGTTGGTGGGTTTTCCATCACTATGTGTCGACCTTCCTGTCCGGAGTCATGCTGACTTGGTGAGTCATGATTTACACTTTTATTACTTTAGAGAATATTCTAACAATATGAATGTGTTTTTGTACCTTTTATAAATATATAATTACCCAGATGGCCTGAGAAAATAAAATAAAAGGATCACTCTTGTCTGGTTCTCTTTCTAACCAGATGTTGTTTGTTCACAGGCCTGATGGCGCCCTCTACCAGATGTTTAGAAACCAGTTCCTGACATACTGTCTTTACCAAAGTAAGAGTTTCAATCTGTGTCCCAATTTCACACCACGTACTTGTTTGATGAAATATACTCTATGGACTAATCAGCGTAGTTCGTGTTCGCCTTGTAATCTCTTAAAGCAAAGTTTCACTTGTGACTTTTTATCACTTTATATAAAATGACAGTTATTTATGAATTGTGACTCAACAAACTCTTTTTATGTCCAACCAACATAAAATCTGTTAATAATTTCTCACGAATGCACTTGTGTGTATTTTTTGTTTCCTCTGCTTTGTTTGTAAAACAGGTTTTGTCCAGTTCCTTCAGTGCTACTACCAGAGCGGCTGCTTGTACCGACTCAGAGCTCTGGGAGAAAGACACAACATGGACCTCACAGTCGGTGAGTGCACTCGAAACTGAAGTCAGTTTGTTTGCATACATTTATAGTTTGGCGACTCTTTAATACTACAAGGCAAAGGACGACAAACAATCTGCTCATGACAGTAAAGGTGATGCCGTACAGAACAAGAGGCGGCGAGCGTTAATTGGTCAGACTCGTGATGTCAGAGACGTACGTTATTTCAACGAGATCGCCTTAAAGAAATGTCAAAGACACACTAATGTAATCACAACAGTAAACTTTATTCATATAGTACTTTTCTTGACCAAGATACAAAGTGGAATTAAAAACAGAAAGGGGAGTAAAATAAAAGATTCCAAGTATTTTAGAAACTGTATTGCTATTACATGGTTTGTCCACCAGTGGGCACTCACAGGTTAGATTTTAGCCACA